AGCCACATTATCTTCGTTTTCATATCTATGACCTAAAAGCTGGTTGTCTTGAATTTGATGGACACATGAAATGTGCTGCCATCCGTCCAACCACCCAATTTCATCCTATGCTCCGGCCAACTTAAAGTCAATGCTGAGCGAAATGTAAAGTTATAGGATTTTTGCTGTTGCTGGGCAGGCAAACTGGGCGACAAGTTAGCGTGGTCTCAGAGTGCGACCAAATCGAGATGTGTCTGAAGATGGGGCTGTTCACGGGATAGACACCCCCGGCCCGACATGGCCACAGTGGCGAGATGTACACATTGGAACAGACGAGACGGAAGGTGTCTCTTGTCTCTTGCCGAGTCTCAAGGCGCGCTGCAAGTCACTCAAATGGATGTTGGTGCCGCTGATTCGCGTCGAATCGGTCACTACCAAGTTTTGACTGTCAAGTCGGTCCGTGCAAAATTGATAGGCCATGGAATCTGACAGACGTCTGGATTAGCAAGTGGCTGATTAACTCTTATTTTCTGCACTAAAATAACCAATACTTGTACAGCTTATTGTGCCTTCCTCCTCAGGAAAGCCCATTCTTTGCCTTATGCTTTCGCCTCTTGATGCAACGGAGTGTGTAGAAGTATAATCTAATTTTGCCAGAGAATGTTGTCGCATCTAATCTGAGGATAATGAGATGCACGAGTTTGACTTGAAACTGAAAAGAATTCTCCTAATTAACTTAAGCCTGACTGACAGAGTCAGTTTTTCTTCCGAATGAGTCTTCGGGACCTCCATTGCCTCGCCTCACGCGTGGCTCTTTGACCAAATAGGACATCTTCGTTAGAAGTGGTCCCGGCTTCCCCACCAGCCGTTGTCAGCATATCATTGTTGAGGTAGGCGTTAGCAGGGCAGTTTGGTTTTCCCAGAATTTTGACTGCTCCAATCTCCCAAAAATAATGCGTATGTGTGCCTGTGTGCTTTCGCTTCAATTTGACGGCTTGCGTAAGTAAACTGAGAATGTTTCCTCAAAAGAGATGAATGGACTTCATGTACCTGCCGGATTGCGTGCTTGTTGGTGAGGCCACCATTTGAGTCCGGCCAGGAGTGATGAAGAGCAGATGCGACAAGGTCCGGACAATAGTGCAAGCAGCATCCACCCATTCATATGTTCTAGAAACTCCACTCATCCCATTTATTGTAATTTTAGTAAACATGATCTCAAACTAGTTGATTGTTAATTCCAAAATGCTGAAGTCATAAGGCGACAGATCTCGAACCCTTAAAGGATTTTTGATTTAATTCAAACACTGTGTCTTTTGCTAATTTTTCAAAAAGAATCTATTTCACGTTAAAGCTTGCTCTTAAATGTACAACCCTAAGAATTGCTTAACCTGTTGTACCTTCACCATCCATCTAGGTTGCTCGGTGAAGGAAGTCTTAGAGATTAACTCATGTCATGTCAAGTCATAATGCTTCGTATCTAATTCAAAGATCGTTATGATCACAAACTTTTATGTGAGGTTGGACGTTTTTTTGTTGCTGCTTACGAAAAAATTTGAAAGACTGATTGGAGTGTTGGACTTTAGCAAATTTGAGACCCTCTAGCTTGTAGACATCTTTGCTAACGGATCTCAACGTCTTCACACTTATCTGCCTACAAAAATAATTCTGAAGCGGAGATGTGACCAGTTTAGGATAGTTATGAGAGGCACAATTCTACAAACATTGAGACATCTATTTAGACTAATACTAAAGTATACTTAAGCTTGCCGCTTGCATGAAAGCGTACTTCACACGAGTTTTTATTCTTGCATTTCTTTCATACATGAGCCGACTAACGGTTGCAGGGAAACGAAGCCTAGCTTCACTCCGGATAATGCATACTTCCAACTAAAAGACTACAAGGAAAAAAGTCTATGAACTTGCCCTATGCATGAATCCGCTTGGCAGACTTGGGAGTTCGATTGTGCGAATTTGTCGGCCGGTCTATTTCACAGCAAACCGGACACTCACCAGGAAACATTATGTGCTTTGATTTTATTTTCAGGTTCATTTAATTATCTTTTAAAGGCTACCGG